GGGTCTTCACAGCCAAAAGGAAAAGGCCAAATCACCAAGAAAATCACAAAGCAAGGGAAAGGTGAACAAGCGCCGAAAAGGACAAGGCATGAAGAGAAATCATTGGTGGTTGCTTCTGGTTCCAAGAAGAAAGGGAAACAGTTGGCTGTGGTATCTGATGATGAACAGACTGAGAGTGGATCATGCAGCTCAGCTGGAGGTTCCCAAGGCACCATTGAAGAGGCATCAAAGAGGATCAAGAAAACTGAACCAAAAACACCTGATTATCTGGATAAGTTTCAGCAGATGGAGATCCAGCAAGGGAGGTTCCCTGATATGGACTTTCTGAAGAAGATTGGCATCTATGAAGATGTCAAAACTTTGCTTGGGAACATGGGCATTGAATCACTTTTGGAAATGAGAGAGATCGCATATGAAGAGGAGTCTCAAGAATTCTTGGCTTCTTTTGATGCTTTTATGTACTACCCAAGGGATTCAAGAATTCTTCAAGGGGATGGTCTTGGTTACATGGAGTTTACTGTGAAAGGAAAGGACAACACAGTGTCTTTCAGGGAATTGAATGAGATATTTGGGTTTTCTGCGGCTAAGAACGTCCCTCTATCCAACCAGATTAATCTTAGAAAGGAAGATATTAGGCTCTATGGAGATCAATAGCTTCTGGGAAGTACACAGCTGGAGCAGCTAAGTCCTCTTGGATAAGGGACCCAGTGCTGAGATATGTCCACAAGATCCTCTCTCACAGCTTCTTCTTCAAACTTGATGTTGGGAGAGTTCACAAGGGTGATCTGAATCTCCTTGGTGTGGGGCTGAAACAGTTGATGCCAACTCATGAAGATAGGAAGCCCTATGAAGGATATGCTTACACACCTTGCCTTGCCTCTCAATTAGCAAGGTCTTTGATGTTCTACAAAAAGTGCATTTGGGGTTCAACAAAGAAGGATGCAAAGCTGGCCCATGGATGGGTTGTAACAAAGATCTTGAAGGCAAAGGGGTGCAGGTTCAAGGAGAATAAGGCAAGGTTTGACCTGATTATGAAGCCCATTTGTGTAAGATCGGTTTCCTTCAAGGAAGAGTTCGAGCCAAGCTGGTTTTCAACTTCAAGTCCTTCATTGATGAGCCAGTCCAAACTCTCCTGCCCAATCCCTCCATCACCACAGTCCAAGTAAAGAGGAACATTCACTTCTTCTTGCTGAAAGAAGAGTTGTACAATGTCCAAACTGATCCCCCAATCCTCAAGTACAAGAAAGCTTGCAGAGAAGAAGCCTCCAAGGAAAGGAAAGCAACCGCTGAAGATGCTACCACAAGTGCTGCTGGTGCTGGAGATGATGGTCTGCCTCCACCTCAAAAACGTTATGGTGGAAATAGATATCACTTTGATGATTACAACTGGGAGGAGCCAGGAACTTCAGGGTTTAGAGCTCAACAAAAGATCGGTGTTCTCCAACAATGGTGCAAGTAACAGGATAAAACAATCCACAAGATGGAAAGTGCATCAAGGAGATGAAGAAGAGGATCAAGAAGCTTGAAAACCCTTGCAAAGGTGGATCTCCAACACCGGTTTCACCAAGGAACAGAGAAGAGGTTGGAGAGAGTTCCATAAACTGCACAGCCCTGGTCCCATATGGCACAACATGGGTGGATCTTGATTACGGTTCTGATGAGGCAAGCCATCAATCTTGGGAGACACCATCCGGTCACACTTCAAACCCCTCTTACTCTTTGGGGTCAGACTTCCACAACTCTTAGGTAACACTCCACACCTTGTACATATGCATGTAGATTTTCTTTTTCTCTTTGCATTTTACTTGTTTGTTTTGCATTTACTCCTTTCTCATGCTTTTATAACACAAGGGACTGTGTTATTTAAGTGTGGGGGAGGAGTTTCATCTTTTACTAATCATGTTTTCTCTGTTCTTATTTTATACTTTGAGTCTTGAGTCACATTCTTGCATGCATTCATGTAGTTTCATCTAAGTGCATATAAAAAAACCAAAAAAATCAAAAAATCAAAAAATTTTCACAAAAAAAAAAATGTTCATGTAGTTGCATTCTCATTTTTAGGATTGAGTCTATTTGCATATTCATGTAGGCTTCATCAATGCAAGGGAGTAATGATAAGTTTTTCCTTGAGAGAATATCACTTTAAGAATCCGGTTCACTATCCTAGTTTCTAGTTCTTTGCTGCATGTAAACAAGAAAGAAATCAAGACTGATCCATGCTTTGAACTTATTGAGTGAATCAAGCTTTAATTAGTCCAGCCTTATCTAAGTGAGAACCATAATTTGACAATCTAATTATCATTGCTTGTGCATGTCATTGTGAACTCATGGGTACCCTTAAAATATTTGAGCTCTCTTATCCCTTTTACCATTCTTTGCTAGCTCAAATAGTTGTTCTCTCACTTTGAGACAGTTCCCTGCCTTTAACTAAACCTTCCTTGAAGCCTTAAACACTATAGTGAGAGATGTGAGGCCTTTTTCTGAATAAACTTGACAGAAAATGTTGGGTTTAGGGCGACAAGAGTAGGGTCTCATGTAGATCTAGCTCAGCATCATGAGTCTTGTTGGGGCCGGTTTTCACCCCACGCAGATTAAACCATCTCAAAATGACTAAGTATGGAAAGTGGGAGAGCCGTGGCCACCAAATGGGAGAGCCGTTCTTACCAAGACAAGAGGGAGAGCCATTCTCACCAAGACAAGCGGGAGAGCCGCGATCACCAAGTGGGAGAGCCGTGAAGAAAGACCAGTAGGGAGAGCCGTGAAGAAAGAGAGGTGGGCCGAGCCGTATCATAATAAATGGGCCAAGCCCCTCTCTAACATACCTGGGCCGAGCCGCGCCTCGGTGAGGTGGACCGAATCATGTCTCGACTAAAGTGGCAAGTGGGCCGAGCCGTGGAGAAGTTAGATGGGTCGAGCCGTGGAGAGGTTAGATGGGCCGAGCCGTGGAAAAGTTCAGATGGGCTGAACTAAAGCCTTGAGAGACGAAGCCCATAAAAACCCTAGGCGAAATACAAAAGCAGTGAGCCGCACGAGGCGATAAGGAAATATTCCGAAAATCTCTCCCGAGATTCTCGGCTAGGCGGTTCGGAGAATTAGTATAAATAGATGATGTATACAATTCATTCTGTAACTTTTGCAACCCTAAGCAATAAGAGCTAAACACTTTTACAGCAAGAAAAACTTTCTTTCGATCTTACTGTTCTTGACGATAAACCCTAGAAATTTCCGATCCCTTAGTTTTCCTTAAACAAATTTCTGGTTGTGCGAGTTTTGGCTCACACAATTTGGCGCCGTCTGTGGGGAATCGAAACTTTCTTACTCTAAATCGACAAGACTTTAAGATCCGAAGAACATGGCGAGCAACATCCCCGACGATAACAACAACACCGGTAACGGCGCAGAGAACGACGCTCCGGCATCGGGCACAACGACGGCAACGATCGAAACCCAAGAGGAGATGCAAAACATGATGGCTGCGTTGATGAAGAAAATCGACGAACAGGATAAAAGAAACGAGGCGATTACGGAGAGGCTCGACGCGATGGCGGCCGAGCGACTACACCCAATTTGGAGAGCCGGAATTCCCGACCCGATGGATGGAATCCGGAGACGCTTCGATTTCTCGACACCTGCAGAAGCCTCAGGGAGCGGCTCAAGAAACCCCTCGGCTCCTCCAATGTCTCGTCTCCTCGACGAACAGACCCCCGCGGCAACCCGAGTCAACATGACCGAGCCGCCCCCTTTCTGCCGAAACTCAAGGCGACGAGCCGGCGAAGAAGAAAACGATGCAATCGACATAGACGCCCAGCAGAACGACGGAACCGCGAATCCGCAACAATCTGGCTCGGCTCGGCGAATAAGTCAGGAAGACCTCGCCTCGGCACTAAACGGCATCCAAACTGACGAAGTTCCCGACCCGACCCGCGGCGACAATCCAACCAAGGAGAAAGAAAATCTCCAATGGATCGAACAGGCAGAGCACGAAGACGAGCCGAGCAGAGAGGAGCGGGAGCGACTCCCCCAATCAAAGGGAATGACTCACGCACAAATTCTTGAACTCAAAGAGCTGCGAGCCTCGATGGCTCGGACGGTAGCTGAAATACGCGCCATGAAATCCCAAGTGCACAACGCGACAAGCGCCGCGCCCGAAATCGACCGAATGCTTGAAGAAACTCAGAGAACCCCATTCACTGCAAGAATCACGGAGGCCAGGATTCCCGAGCCGGGGAAGGTGAGAATCCTGTTCTACGAAGGAACAACCGACCCGAAAGCACACATCACAGCGTTTCAGATAGCAATGGGACGAGCCTTCACAAAGAACGCCGCTAAACTCACCGAGCGCGAAGTAGACGCCGGATACTGCCTGCTCTTCGTGGAGCATCTCAAGGGAGCCGCACTCGAGTGGTTTTCGAGGCAGGAACGAAATTCAATCGGCAATTTTCAACAGCTCTCCGCCTTGTTCCTTAAACAACATCTCAAGGGAGCCGCACTCGAGTGGTTTATGGACAGAGGAACATCCGATGCCGACCTGTGGACACTATCCCAAGGACTGAACGAACCGCTTCGGGATTACATGGCAAGATTCAAGGCAGTCGTATCCAAAATAGAAGGGATAAGCGATAAGGCTGCGCTCGAGGCTCTGAAACGATCTTTGTGGTACAAATCCGAGTTCCGACGGGAGATGGCTCTCAACACGATGCAAACAATTCAAGACGCTTTGCACCGATCATCAGACTTCGTCGTAAACGAGGAGGAAATGAAAAACTTGGACGAAGGGCAACCCATCAAGCAACGCAACAACGCAGAGCTCGGATGAACCTAGAAACAAAGGTGCCCATAACTACCAGGTAGGCGCCGGACGCGGAAGAGGAGAGCCGCGCAACAACACTTGGGTGAGAAAGTCCGCCAACTAAGATGAGAAGGCTTTCTGCGAGTATCACCAGACCTACGGGCACTCAACGGCTCAATGCCGAACTCTAGGAGCAAATCTCGCAGCAAAGATGGCAGCGGGAGAGCTCCAAAACGCGGTCAGCCTCAAAGACCTCGTCCCTAACGAACAACAAGAGAGAGCCGAGCCGAGCGGCGCGGCGGAACCCGCGAATCCTCCCCGACGAAGCGATAACTCCAAACGCGATAGGAGAGGCAAACCCGAAGAGCGACCCAGCCGAGGCAAAGGATCAATATGATCATGGGTGGATCTCAATACTACCAAGATACCGTGTCCTCCATCAAAGCCTATCAGCGCCGAGCCGAAGCAAAGGAAAATTGGACAGAACCAACCGACATCCCAAACACAGTGATCTCCTTCACCGAGGAAGAAACGGCAGGAATCGATCGACCTCACAACGATCCGTTGGTAATTGAGTTAACAATCAGGGATCATGACGTAGCAAGGGTGCTCATCGATACTGGAAGCTCGGTGAATGTCATCTTCAGGGAAACACTCAGAAGAATGGGAATCGACCTCTCCGACGTGGAAGCAATCCCCAAACCTCTAATCGGATTTTCAGGAGAAACGACGATGACTATGGGAACGATCAGGCTTCCTGTGGTAGCTGGCGGAGTCACTAAGATCGTCGAATTCTGCGTCACTGATCACCCAGCAATCTACAATGTGATCATGGGAACTCCATGGATCAACGGGATGAGGGCGGTACCCTCCACCTATCATCTCTGTCTCAAATTCCCAACTCGATCGGGTGTCAAAACGATATGGGGAAATCAGAAGGAGTCAAGAATGTGCTGCCTAGCCGAGCACAAGCTGAGGAAACCCGTCACTGACGCACGAGCAGATATAGACCGGAAAAAGATGAAGACAGACCGAGAGCCCACGAACGAGCTCTCAAAACTCTTATAGCAATTACAGATCGCGGAGAGCCGCGAAACACGCACTGAGCCAGTATGTGACGTGGTGGACTCGGTGTGCATAGACGAGGCGCGCCCGGAGCGATGCGTCGAAGTAGGAACAAAACTGGAAGAGCCTCTGAGACGCGAACTCCTTTCCCTCCTCAAGGAAAACATCAACACTTTCGCCTGGACAGCGGAAGATATGCCAGGCATAAGCATCGACGTGACCTGTCACCAGCTTAATGTGGACCCGACCTTTAAGCCAATCAAGCAGAAAAGAAGGAAGCTCGGCCCTGAACGAGCTAAAGCAGTTAACGACGAAGTCGAGAGGTTACTCAAAGTAGGATCAATCGCCGAGGCCAAATATCCGGACTGGCTCGCAAATCCGGTGGTCGTGAAGAAGAAGAACGGCAAGTGGCGAGTATGTGTGGATTTCACCGACCTCAACAAGGCGTGCCCAAAAGACAGCTTTCCCTTGCCACACATCGACCGGCTCGTCGAAGCCACTGCAGGGAATAGACTGTTAACATTTATGGACGCGTTCTCCGGCTACAATCAGATCCTGATGCATCCTGATGATCGGGAAAAAACGAATTCATAACTGAACGCAGGATATACGGCTACAAAGTCATGCCGTTCGGGCTCAAGAACGCAGGAGCAACATATCAACGGCTCGTCAACAAAATGTTCGCGGCTCAGCTCGGAAAAACCATGGAAGTATACATCGACGACATGTTAGTCAAGTCACTCAAGGAGGAAGACCATGTCGCGCATCTATGGGAATGCTTGGAGCAACTGAACAAGCACAACATGAAATTAAAGCCGGCGAAGTGCAGATTCGCTGTCACTTCAGGAGAATTCCTCGGCTGTCTGGTAACTCACCGAGGCATAGAAGCAAACCCCAAGCAGATCAAGGCATTGATTGAGATGCCCTCTCCAAGGACAAAGCGCGAAGTGCAAAGGCTCACAGGAAGAGTCGCCGCGCTAAACAGGTTTATTTCCCGCTCCACAGACAAGTGCCTGCCCTTCTACGACACCCTCCGAGGAAACAAGAAATTTGAGTGGGACGAGCGATGCGAAGCAGCTTTCCAGGAGTTGAAAAATTATTTGGCGAGCCCACCAATCTTAGCAAAACCAGTCGAAGGAGAGCCGCTCTTCCTCTACATCGCAGTATCTGCCACAGCTGTAAGCGGAGTTCTTATCAGAGAAGAGCGATCCGAGCAAAAGCCCATTTTCTACATCAGCCAGACATTGACCGACGCCGAGACTCGCTACCCCCAGATCGAGAAGGCCGCCCTAGCCGTCGTAGTCTCGGCTCGCAAACTGCACCCGTACTTTCAATCACATTCGATTGTTGTGCTTGCTACGCTTCCGCTACGCTCGATCCTACACAGCCCTAGCCTATCCGGTCGGCTCGCCAAGTGGGCGATAGAGCTAAGCGAATACGACATCGAGTATCGGAACAGGTCGTCTGCAAAGTCACAGGTTCTCGCAGATTTCCTCATTGAACTTCCCGCCGAAGCAACAAACGAGCCGACTCTAGATGAAGTGTGGACGCTGCACGTCGACGGCTCGCCGTCTAAACACTGCTCGGGAATAGGAATCCGCCTCACCTCTCCCACCGGAGAAATATTGGAGCAGTCTTTTCGCCTGAACTTCCACGCCTCGAACAACGAAGCGGAATATGAAGCACTGATCGCCGGCATACGACTAGTGCAGGGAATCGGAGTTCGAAAGATAAGAACCTTTTGCGATTCACAGCTCGTAGCATGTCAATTCAACGGAGAATACGAGGCGAAGGATGGACGAATGGGAGCTTACCTTAAAGTGGTCCGAGAGTTGGTGCAAAAGTTTGATGAGTTCTAACTCATGCGCATTCCCCGAGGAGAAAACACCTCGGCCGACGCCTTGGCAGCACTCGCTTCGACCTCGGACCCAGACCTCCGACGAACGATCCCAGTCGAATTCATCGAACGTCCTAGCATCGAAGAGGTGGAAGGAGTTCGGCTGAGAAATCCTCCCGAACAAGAACCAGAGGACGACGAAGCCATTCCTATGGACGAAGATGCCTCACCGACCGAGCCGGAGTACGACTGCGACAAAGAATGGCTCGGAGCTATCCGAGTGTATATCACCGATGGAGAGTTGCCAACCGACAAATGGGAAGCCCGCAAACTAAAAGCTCAGGCCGCACGTTATGTCCTCGTCGATTTTCAGGGCCTCTCATGACATGCGTCGAAGGACCGGAAGCAAGAAAGATCATGCACGAGGTGCACAGCGGCGCGTGCGGGAACCACTCCAGCGGAAGGTCGCTCGCTATCAAGATAAAACGGCACGGCTACTTCTGGCCCACGATGGTCAAGGACTGCGAGAAATTCACGGCGAAGTGCGAGAAGTGTCAGCGGCACGCTCCAACAATTCATCAACCTACCGAGTTGCTCTCGTCAAAGCAGAAGCGTTTTCTGCTCGTCCTCACGGATTACTTCTCCAAGTGGGTCGAGGCCGATTCTTACGCAAGCATAAAGGATGTTCAAGTCGAACACTTCGTCTGGAAAAATATCATTTGCCGACACGGGGTCCCTTACGAGATAGTCACCGACAACGGATCCCAGTTCATCTCAACACAGTTCGAAGCCTTCTGCGAGAAGTGGAAAATCCTGATAACTAAAAGTTTTGATGCTCTTAGAAGGGTTATCAATCCCCTTGTCAAAGTAGTATAAGGGGTGTCAAACCAAGTTGTAAACGAGACACTAGCCTATGTCATTTGTTCACTTAAGTCAAGACAAGAGGATAAAAGTTTGGTGACGATGATTAACAGGCAAATAAGCAATAAAATTAAATAAAAGAAGAGATTTAAACTAATCAAGATGCAAACAACAAACAGGTGATTCAGATGATGATAATATGCGATAAGAGAAGAGACTCTAGACAAGATAAACGACTCGGGTGCTTCCAAGCTAAACTAATGGGTTAATGAATTATTTTGTCAAGCGATTTCATTTAACTTTGAACTCAAGGCATGTTAATCTTCTCATGAAAGTATCAAACATCTAAACTGATCCTCCTTCATACCAAAATGTCTTTTGAGAAGCACGAATCAATCAGCAATAAGATTCAGTTCAAATCTGTCATTTAAGAGAACAAACTATCACTCTCGCGATGAAAGACTCTTAAACCTTTAACCGAGTGGTTCAAACATTTCTACAAACACTTTTGATGCGAGATATGCCTCAGATCTGAACCTCAAGTGATATGCTTGGGTCCAGCCTAGAGATCTCGTCGGTTAACAAATGAAACATGCAAGAATAGACACCTAAACCCACTAATCTATCTTGAAAGCACCCTAATCTACTTATCTAAAGCCGCTTAAACGACTACTCACTGATCATAACGAGCTCACTAAGTCCTTTGCAAGACGTGTAGCTGGTCATGATTAGGAGTTTAATGCTGATAATAAAAGAAGAATAAAGAAAGAACAAGATTCAGATGCAAAAACGAGATATCGGATTAGATTAATCTGGTTTCACAAAAGAGGCAAGTTCTTAAACGTAAATGGAGATAAAAGATAGGATGATTAGGTTTTTGGTCCTAAAATGTATTTATAGTAAAGGGAAAGTGTCGCGGGTCAGCCCGGAACAAACCGGGTACTGAACCGCTTCCTTGGGTTGATGGGTGAGTGCCACGGTGTTCCGGAAAGTGAAGCCGAGGTCTTCATGCCGAGGTGTGTACGTGAGTCAGGATCCATATGAAGATCTCGTGAAGAACACGTCAAGAACATGCATGAACCCTAGTCTTTGATCCATCCTCACGTGTGCGTTCTTGAGCCATTCTGTTCATGATTCTGGTTTCGTGACAAGGGACCTCGGGATAAAAGGTCGAGGGGTCATGATGTCGAGGTGCTTGGGAGAACACAGTCCGGCATGCACGCCGAGGTCATTACACTGAGGTGTACTTTCAACACTTAGTTGTTTCCAGCTTCAGTTCTTACGTATGCATGCCTCGATCTAATCATGCCAAGGCTTTAGCACAAGGTCTAGTCCAGAATACTTCCAAGATATGAGCCTCGTCTTGAGTGATGCCAAGGTAAAGATACCGAGGCTTGTGAAAACACTTAGCGCGTATCGCAACTCATTTAGGCTTGTATCGACCATGTCACTTTCCGGAAGCAGTAACTTTCAGCACACGACTCCAATTGCTCTAGAACCAGTTCCACAGTCAAGATGACTCAATAATCTCGGACTTTGGTGAAGGGATCGTTGGAGCTTGGGAAGTGGAAGGCTTCCTGGATTTCACATCTTTGCACCGCATCGGATTCACCGGAAAATAAGCTTTTGAACCAATGTGAACTCCGGAGACCTTATCTTTTGAACCACAGCTCCGAACTTAGCGATTCCAACTGTTCTGAGAAGGTACATCATATATCTCAGACTTTGATGAAGAAAGGGCAGGCTAGTTTGATCCGGAAAGGATCATTCCGCCGTGATCTTTGGAATCCGCCGTTCGGTTCTCGGATGCGCGTAATGTTGGTGCATATTCCGGAAGCTGTATCTTTCTCCTAACTGGTCCGAATTAGATGATTCTAACTGCTCTGGAATCTTTGCTTGATTCTCTCCAACTTTGATGAAGAGTCCGCCAACTGAGTCGGACCGGAAGGTTCCCCGGATTGCTGATCTCTGAATTGCGCGGGCAAGGACAACTTTTGGTCGTAAAAACCTTCCCGCGGTAAGGAAAATGGCCGAGGGCTGTGTACCGCGGTAAGCTTTTTGGTCGTGAAAATCCTTGCCTCGGTCAAAAACTTGTCCCGTGGTATTTTTGCACTCGATACTCGATTCTGGCCGATCGGTACGGTTTTTGGCCGGTAATGAGCATCCGGTAAACATTTTGGCCGCAGCCGGTACGAGATTTGGCCGAGAAATTCCTCCAAGCGGTTTTCACCATTTTTGACCCTTTTCTTCACCGTTTTCTTTTTTGTTCCTCTTCTTAGGCTCCAATTGGTCTCCAAAGCTCCTGATAAAGACTTCAAAACATGCAAAACTCTTTGGGACCTAATGCAAGCCCTAAGTCCTATTTTGACGCCTAAAGACTCAATTCACATGAGAAAACACATGATGAGGACTCTATAATGCAATCTAAATGATGTAAAATATAGACATATCAAATCCGCCTCAGCAAATCTACGCCAAGATACCCTCAAGGAAACGGACAAGCCGAAGCAGCAAACAAGACGATCCTCGACAGTCTGAAAAAGAGGCTCGACGCCAAGAAGGGACGGTGGGCAGACAAACTCAAAGGAGTCCTTTGGTCTCATCGGAAAACTCCGCGCTGAGCCATCGGGGAAACTCCATTCGCTTTGGTCTACGGATCGGAGTGCGTAATTCACCCCGAGGTGGATTTCCCAGGTATTCGACGAAGACTTCTACCAGGACAGGAGGGCTTGAACCACTTAATGATGCTAGATGAGCTCGACCTAATCAACGAAAAGCGCGACCAAGCCTTAATTCGAATCCAGAACTACCAACAAGCGACGGCGAGATACTACAACAAAAACGTTCGTAGTCGAAGATTCAAATCGGTCTTCCAAAACACTGCCGAGAAGAACGCAGGAAAGCTCGGAGCAAATTGGGAAGGTCCTTACAAGGTCACAAAAGTGGTTCGTCCAGGAGTCTACGAACTCGCGACACTAGCTAACGAGGCGATTCCAAGATCATGGAACGCAATGCATCTGAAGAAATACTATCACTAAGGATACAGCACGACCAGCATGAACTACGGAACGGCTTGATCCCTGCAAAGGGTACGTAGGCAGCCCGTCCTCGGACGGGTTCAGCTGTCCCCCCTCCTAAAAAGGGGGGGAGTGGGTACGTATACACATACCTCCATTAACTCTACAATTTTTAGCTTTTTTAGCTCGCTCACTTAGGAACATCGCCACTTCGGCACATTCTCAGCTCGCTTTGAATCATCAACTTATTTCACGTTTACCTTGGATTTCTAGTTTGTTCATTATCGCTTCGGCTAGTTTCTCATTCTTTCTGAATCAGCAACTTATTTTAACAAGCTCGGATTTTTAAATTCTTTCACTCATCACTTCGGCGAAAAATCATACCACTTCGGCATGATATCATGACCTGATTACCTCGGATCTTCGTTGGTCCTCAGTTTCAGTTCGGCAAACTAAGCCTCCGAACGCCTTGTCTTGTTGCTGGCTACAACGGGGCAACAAATACAAAGTTCTCTAAACGGACTTTTACCACCTTTCCTAGGACGAGGGTGCAAGTTACATCCTCTACGGATAAAAATGAAGCGCGCTATACAAATATCAGACCAAAAACGTATCAGGTCGCCATGGTTTACTATCGCACACGAGATTATAAGTCGAGACTACATCGCTTTCTCTAAAACCGAAGTAAACTCTTAAAACCCGGACAAGCCTACTTATCTTCTCGGAAACGCTGGTCCATAGTCAAATTCAATGAGACTACCAAATCATCCTCGGTTAACAAAAACAAAAACAAAACCCCTTGTCGTTTACACGGCACGGCACCACGCAACGAGAAAACACCTCGTCGTTTACACGGCTTGGCACCATGCAAAACAAAAACGCCTCGTCGTTTACACGGTTCGGCACCACCCAATGCGAAAACGCCTCGTCGTGTACACGGCTCGGCACCATGCCAGCAAAAATTTGCCAGCTCGGGATTAAGAATCCAGCATCACCCGAAAGACGCGTCACAAAACTAACTCCCAGCTCGGGATTGAGAATCCAAACAGGATCCTTAAAACAACTTACCCCTTTCTGTCAATTCCAAAAATTCGGCTAAGGAAGCAATCAAAATCTTTCTCAACACAACAATTTTCATCCGTAGTCCTTTTTCTATAACCCAACGCTTTTCACATATATACGCACAGATCGTTAAAAATAAGTGCATCAAATCCTAAAACGGCTAAGGGAAAGAGAATATATCCTTAAGCAAAAATAAATGTCGGGTGGATAAAGGCACCGGTTACATAAAAAGTTCAGAAAGGCAGATAAAAATCCTAAGTACAAAAGCATGAAAGACAAAACAGGGAAAAGCAGAAGAGTATCAGGCCGTGGACTGTGTTTCACGCTCGGCAAGGAGGTTCGAGAGGACCGGCGTGCCCGCGTTTGATCCGTTAGGATCTACGATGCCAAAGTTGGCTGCTGTCTCTTCGAGCGGCTTGTTACCAAGGCTGGTGTCGACCGAGTCCGGCGATACGGGCGAGAAAACCAACTCGCCTCGGATCTCGGAGGCAATACGCTTATACGCGTCGTCGTCAGCATATTCGCTCTCCCAGCTCTTTAGCTGCGCCTCCTCATCATCGAGCGTCGGGGCGTCTGGTTTCTTCAGGACAGCAATCATCGCAAGATTGCCCTTGATTTGCCCTAGATTGTTCTCGTCATTTTTGGCCTTCTCGAGCTTGGCCAAACCCTCCTCCACCTTGGCGAGGCGTTCCTGAAATTTCGCCGTCAGCTCTCGCCTCGCCTCCTTCTTCGCGCGTTTGACCTTGGCTTCGAACAGCGCGTCCTTAGCCTCGATACGCCTTTTAAGCAACGCCACCTCGGCGCTTTTGGCACTCCTTGCTTCCTCCAGGCGAATCACCGAGGCGGAAACTTTGTTGACGTCGGCTCGGAGAACTATCTTCTCCTCTTCCAACCTCGACACTCGGGTCATCGCCTCGGTGAGTTTCCCCTTTGCCGCCGCGGCTTCGTTTTGCGCCTCTTCCAGCTTCACCTTTGACGCCGCGGTCTCATTTCGGGCCTCGTCCAAACGACGCTCGACCTTAGACAGGTCCACCTCATACTCGGTCATCAGGTCGTTAATGGCCGCGACAAACTGCAGAGAACAAACCTGCGTTAAACACTTCGTAAAATTTGCGAAAATAAAGGAAAGCAAATAGAACGTACCTTGGTACCGCGCTGCGCCATCGCGCCGTATGACCTCGGCCTCCTCAGCTTCTCCGGAAGAGGAAGACACGTGTTCGCGTTATTTACACGCGAGAACATGACGGCAGAAGCGTCGGGGTCGTCAACAACCAACTTACGCGCGGTGGGGTCCCCGGGCGTCGGTTTCTGCCTCTTCTTGGACGGCTCGTCCTTCTGAACGGCGACGCCCTTCCCCTTGTCAGTAGCCGAACGTTTTCGGCTAGAGTCATGCTTGTGAACAACCGAAGTCGGTGGCCTCGTTGACTTGGGAGGGCCAGGATGGCGGATTGCGAAGGAGTCTTATTCCGCGCCGCCGAGCCGTCCCTGGACACCTCGGGGATAATTTCGCCCGGTTCCACCTCGGGCGCTACATCTTTCTCAGCTGCCTCGGAAGTGTCGCCTTCTGCGGCTTGGACCATTACATCTCCTTCCCGGCTCGGAGGGTTGGGTTGAAGGACGGGCTCGGCTTGCGCTGAAACCACCTCGGCTTGCGCTGGAACCGCCTCGGTTTGCGCGTGAGCCGCCTCGGCAGCTCGTCTAGCGGCTTCCTCTTCCTCGCGCCTCTTCCTTTCTCTGAGGGCGATTATCACCATCTTCTCCTGGGTATCTCTTGAAGAACTTGAGGATGAAGAGCTGACGGGGACTCTGGCAAGGATGGCTCGCGCTTTTTCTACTCTTTCGAGGGTAAAGTTCTTTCTCCAATTAACCTTCCGCGCCGAAAGAAAGTCTCGAACAGTAAAGAGGTCGTCGGGAATCGGGGGAAGAAAGCACCAAACTGCAAAACAAAGCAAAAAAGAAAAATTTTGAGAAAAGGAAGAGGGTACCAAAAAGAGTTCCGAGCCGAGGCAAAGCTTCGGGTCGGCTACCAAGTGGTCCCCAAGCGGTCTTGGTTCTTTGAACGTAATTCTCGCCGACCGACGCCTCGTTCACCAAGACATAGAAGAAACGTTCAGTCCAAAACTGATCCTTGCTGGGAAAACCGCCGATGATCCGTCGTTTCGCCTTGTTGGAAATATAGAATTTATTTCCCTTCGGAGCTTTCCTGATTTCCAGCAAGTTCAGCAGGTGATTCAGCTCGACATCAACTCTGCACTCGAAGCTTCGAACTAAGATGCCAATCATATGCTGTAATCCCCTCGGCATGATTTTCCCAATCGAGATCCCATGTTTCAAGAGATATTCAAGGATCACTCCGGGGATCGGGAACCAGAGGAAGTAAAGCTCAAAGAACGCCTTGTACAGAGTGAAATGATTCTCTGGAGGCTTGTCGGCTCGGTTGCTCTTCTCTGGAACGACGAACTCCACCGCCTCGGATATCCCGAAGCGATGCCTCAACGCCTCGAGCGACTCAAGGGAGCAAAGCGTAGAGCCAGGCGGGTCAGGTTTTTGTCTCTTAACTCTTGGCCCTCGCCCAGATGTGGAAGCGCCTCGGGATGCCATGAGACGTTCCAACTCACGCTTCGCCTCGAATAGGTCAAAGGGAAATGCCTCCTCCTCGGGTTTGACTGCGGCGCGGTTGATACCTTCATCAGGAATAGGATACTGGGGACGGCTCGTCGAAACCGACAGCTCGTCATCTGTAGAGTCGACATCTGACGGATTTCCGTGATTTGACACCTCGTCAGATGAACGATTGGAAGGGCTCGGCGAAACGGATGCCTCGGAGGATTCTGTTGTACCTCTCGCCTCGGCGTCTACACAGCTCGGCTCGTAGTGAAAGAGTGAATCCAACGAATCGTCGGAGTGGCTCGACATAATTTACGACTTGTACAAGAGTTACAGCACGACTCGGCGAGCCTCTGCCGGAAAAAGATCTGGAACGGTGGAGACCTCGGAAACCCTAGCCAGAAAATAAATAAACTAGAGAGAGAAAGAAGAGAGAAGGGAGAGCTACCTTTAGTAAAAACGAGTGAGTCTGAAGATAATGAGGAAGAATGAAGGAGCTCACCCAGTTATAGGAAAAACGAAGCGCGTGAATTCCGCTTAAACCTCGGGAACCGTCCAAACAGCGAGTGGGATCCGCAGTGAAATGGCTAGACCGAACTGCATCGGTCATACGCGCCAATAGATCAGGAATTTTCTCTCGGAAGACCAACAGTCGGGGCACCCAAGTTTTCAGCCGGTATCTTACCAAAGTAAACGCCTCGTCGTTAACGAAACGGCTCGGCATTAACTCTCTCTTGAAACGCCTCGTCGTTAACGAAACGGCTCGGCATTAACTCTCTCTTGAAACGCCTCGTCGTTAACAAAACGGCTCGGCATTATCTCTCTCTTGAAACGCCTCGTCGTTAGCAAAACAGCTCGGCATTACTCTTGAAATGCCTCGTCGTTATCGAAATGGCTTGGCATTATCTCTCTCTTGAAACGCCTCGTCGTTAACGAAACGGCTCGGCATTATCTCTCTCTTGAAACGCCTCTTCGTTAACGAAACGGCTTGGCATTATCTCTCTCTTGAAACGCCTCGTCGTTAACGAAACGGCTCGCCATTAACTCTCTCTTGAAATGCCTCGTCGTTAACGAAACGGCTCGGCATCAACTCTCTCTCGAAACGTCTCGTCGTTAACAGAACGGCTCGGCACAAACTTTATCTCGAAATGCCTCGCCGTTTATTCGGCTCGGCATAACCACCATCAAATCGCCTCGTCATGGCTCATCATTACTAAACGAAATCGCCTCGTCCTTAACTTGCCTCGGCATCTTCGGTACCCTTTCGAAACACCTCGGAACCCTCGGCATTCCTTGGAAACGCCTCGGCGTCTTCACTCCCAAAACACCTCATCTGGGCTTACGTCATAACAGCTTGACTCGATGGTTTATCCTACGGTCAGGAGTAATGGACCTCGTCACTCTCGCCTCCGAAACTGACGAGCTGGGAGGTTAACTGTTGGGGTCGGTTTTCACCCCACGCAGATAAAACCATCTCAAAATGACTAAGTATGGAAAGTGGGAGAGCCGTGGCCACCAAATGGGAGAGCCGTTCTTACCAAGACAAGAGGGAGAGCCGTTCTCACCAAGACAAGCGGGAGAGCCGCGATCACCAAGTGGGAGAGCCGTGAAGAAAGACCAGTGGGGAGAGCCGTGAAGAAAGAGAGGTGGGCCGAGCCGTATCATAATAAATGGGCCGAGCTCCTCTCTAACATACCTGGGCCGAGCCGCGCCTCGGTGAGGTGGACCGAATCATGTCTCGACTAAAGTGGCAAGTGGGCCAAGCCGTGGCGAAGTTAGATGGGCGGAGCCGTGGAGAGGTTAGATGGGCCGAGCCGTGGAAAAGTTCAGATGGGCTGAACTAAAGCCTTGAGAGACGAAGGCCATAAAAACCCTAGGCAAAATACAAAGGCGGTGAGCCGCACGAAGCGATAAGGAAATATTCCGAAAATCTCTCTCGAGATTCTCGGCTAGGCGGTTGGGAGAATTAGTATAAATCGATGATGTATACAATTCATTCTGTAACTTTTGCAACCCTAAGCAATAAGAGCTAAACACTTTTACAGCAAGAAAAACTTTCTTTCGATCTTACTGTTCTTGACGATAAACCCTAGAGGTTTCCGATCCCTTAGTTTTCCTTAAACAAATTTCTGGTTGTGCGAGTTTTGGCTCACACAAGTCTAGAGTAGGCTAGGAAGAGTTCTTGAGAAACACTGAGTGGAAAAGAGGAAATTTGAGATGAAAACCAGGGGTTGGAAAAGAAAAGAAAGCGGTTTGGGGTCTGCTGTGTAAAGAAAGAAAAACTCTTGTGTGTTGAAAAGAAAAGTCTAGCCTCTAAGTAAAAAGAAAAGAAAAGAAGCCAAAAAGGCTCAAGTGTTTGAAAAGAAAAGAAAAGAGGCTAGAAAGTGTTATATGAGAAAGAGCTAAGTTGAAGGTTCAGACCCTAAAGCCTGAGTTTCAAGTTGAAAAGATGAACCCCCTGGTGAGAAAAAGAATAAGAGTGAAATGAGGAGAGGGTTGATAAGGCAATGAATGTCTTGAGAAACGAGTAGCTAGGATGTAATCTTCATGGGAGTAGAGTTAAGGTGAAAGACCAATTTGGGGCATTGGGTAGATGGGATTCTGCTCTTGTATGCACCAGTGCCTTTTACCCTTAACATTCTGTTAAAGTTTATTCCTTCTTGAGTGATCCCTTGAGCTGCATGGAAGCCATAAACATTAAATGAGATCATCTTTGTCTCATGACCCTGTCCCAAGACAAGTGAGTTCACATGATTTGCATAAGCATGATTCACATGAGCTTTAATGAATGTCAAAAGGTTGGAACAATGGCTGTTTGTGAAAACTTAAGCTTGAGCTTGATTCATTTATTGATAAGTATGGCTAAAGTTTTGTGAGTAATCTTGTTTGCAATGCATCTTAGAATTAGCAACTAGGACAGTGAGCCTTGAATTCTTTTAGTGATACACTCTCTCATTAAGGAATATGAACTCCCAATGCATCCAACATCTTTCTCTCATTTGCTCTTTTTGCTTGAGGACAAGCAAAGGACAAGTGTGGGGGAGTTGCTATATTCATAATTTGTCATGTTTAGGATTGCATTTTTGTCCAAATATTGAGTCCCATGCATACATTTATCTAGTTTTATTAGAGTTTGGCTTTGGTTCTAGAGTGACCTGGATTTTTGGAGTGTTCTCAGGTCATTTGGAGACTTTTGGGAGCAACTTGGAGCTGGGATCATGGAGGAACCCTCACCTGTGTACAGCAACTCGGACAGATGGTTTGGTGCAGACAAAACCCTCACTTTGATCGCGTGGGACGAAAGACTTGCAATGCGATTTAACCTCCGGTGTCTTCATCAAGAATCAATAGGAATTAGTCTAGTTTCCATAACACTTGAGATCGTCCCATTTGGAATTGTGAGCTGAAAGTTACGGCGATCGGAAGCAGTGCATGTCTCGGAGCTGATAAAAGACCAAAGAAAACGCGCGTCAAAGAGCCGGCGGAACGGAGCCTTTGCCGACGTCACCTGAGCTCGAGCCCTTCACAAAAGTTGAAGATGTCTGAGTGTTCTATCCACTAAAGTTGGAATCGCACCATTTGGAACAGTATCTTGGAAGCTACTCTCCCACGAATGTGAAGTGGTCCAAGGAGACTGAAGCCTGCGAGATGGTCTTGCGACTTGGTTAACTCGCAACGCCTTGAGAGTAATGCCTGGAAGTTGAGCTGCGTGTTGAGATGTGCGAGTAAGGTATCACTGGGAAAGGTTTAAAGTTCCCGAGCAAGAAAAATGCTAAGTCCACAACCGTGCGACTTGAGCATGCGAGTTGGCCAAGCATGGAACTGAACCGCATGAAGACTCGCAATCTACACCGACTTGATCATGCGACTTGGGAGTGATGGAGACCACCCCGCACATATCTCTGAAGGCCCCTGCTACATGGTCCTGCTGTGGACAGGAATGGCCTGCCTGAGATAAGAGGATCAACTGGTTCCTCATCCATTTCCAGCACAACAAAATCAGTTGGAACCTCAAAACCACCAATCTTGACAGGCAGATCTTCCAACATCCCAACAGGTAATCTAACTGATCTGTCTACAAGGATAAGAGAGATCCTTTCAGGTTTGAAGACTCTAAAGCCAAGCTTCTTTGCTATGGAGAATGGCATCAAACTGACTGATGCTCCCTGATCACAAAGACATCCAGAGAATAGTAGAGGTCCAATGGCACAAGGGAGTGTGAAACTCCCTGGATCAGTCAACTTTCTTGGTATGGACTTCTTCTGAATGATAGCACTGCATTCATGACTTAGTACCACCATGCCTTGAAGCTCTTTAGTCTTGTTCAGAATGGCATCCTTCAAAAACTTACCCATCTTTGGCATCATTAGGAATGCATCAATGAGAGGCATAGTGAGTGGTGTCTCATTGAGTGCCTTCTCAAATACAGCTCTTGCCTTGTCTACAAGCTGCTTCTTAAACCTCCCTGGAAATGGGAGCTTGGGTTGGTATGGAGGTGGTGGCACATATATCTTTTCTGGTTCAGGTTCCTTTTCTACCTCTTTACCCTTTTCTTTCTTTGATTTCTCAGCAACTTGATCATCTTCTAAAGCTGACTCCCCCTCAGTTTGATCATTGTCCTCAATGATCACATTGTTGTTCTCAATACCAGGTAGCTCCTTTCCACTCCTCAGTGTAATGGCTTTAGCATATTCCTTGGAGTTGGGTTCAGGTTTTCCAGGTAGGTGGCCTTGGTTCCTTGAGCTAGAGGCCTGGTTTTGCTTCAATTCCTTGATTTCCTGCTGCATGGCTGCATTTTGGCTTGCAAATATATGTTGACCCTGAAGCAGTTGTTGCAGAATCCCAACCATATCCGATCCCATCTGTGGCTGCTGCTGAACCGGTGGTGGCTGAAACTGGTGTTGAACCGGCGCTTGCTGCTGGAACTGTGGTGGACCAAACCCTGGTGGTGCCTTTTGCTGTTGCTGTGAAATGAAACCAGTTCCCTGAAATGGTTGTTGTTGCTGACCAAAACCCTGATTCTGAGCAAACTGATTCTTGGGTTGAAATGACCCTTGAAAGTTGTTCTTGGGAACAAAGTTCTTTGGAGCTTGAGAATTGGGATAGACCTGGTCTTGTGGGTTTAGAGCGTCAATAATAGCTTATTAGAGCATCAAGAGAGTGCATTGCTTAGTGAGACTAAGGATAAGATAAGCCCCCCTCTCCAAATATGACAAATTATGAATATATCAATAATCTGAGCTTGAAACTGTCCTCAGAAACTCCATTTATCTTTGTCAGGTCACACACTTTATCAAATTGATCCAAGT